AAGTTTTTCGTACTCGCGGCTTTCATGATATTCCATTTGCTGTTTATGCTATATATAGACACAATGCGACGTCAAAGGAACGTGACTCTCTTTCTTATTGTCCAAGGAGGATTTTTCTCAAAAACAAAAAAATTACGTCGATTATTCGAGATCGTTTCTCATAAGATTGATTCGAAAAACAATTAATAATTCTTCTCTTAATCTGCTTTATAGAGAACCAAATATAAGGTATTTTTGAGAATAGTTTGATAAAAAAAACTACACATATCCGATTTTCAAATGGTTTATGTTCCTCTATTCGTTCAAACGTCCAATCGGAAAACTTCGGACCGTCGATAGAGATGCTCGTAATTAAATCCGATCTGAATGCAAACTCGTGAAACGCTTTCGGCCGTCTCCTCTCTTTCTCGATCGCTTCCTCCTAATTTACTACACCTTGAATTGCAAATCGCGAGAGGCGCGCATGTCCGGCAACGACGACGTCGCCAATTGGTCTTTTCTCGGTGAATTACGTTCTGTCGCAGAAGTTTTAAGTTGTTGCTCGCATTTAAAGACAACCCTCCGCCGTTGCGCCGATATTTTACGCCGACTTGTCGAATCTTCTTGCCGAAGAAAAGGACGGAGCAATTAACACGAAGAAACTATTTCCCTCTCGTGGATTTTCTCGGAAAATATATATGAGTCTGCATCTGGCTTAAGGGATCTCGAGTTCGTTAATCCGCATGTTTCGGCGACGTTTGTTTAAACAAACATCCGTGTAATCGAAAGCAATTTCAGTCGTGCGCAAGCCTCGAGATATTCGACATCGGAGACCGGAATTCCGATAAAGATGGCGTGACACCCAGCAATATTGTGGTCCGAATTCAAACGAGGAAGCGGCATCAGCCAACTGCGTTCCACCGTGTCGGTCGCTAGCCAATCATCTTGCTTAAACAGAGAACCAACTTCCGCGAGTCATATTATGCAGAGTCTCTCCTAACTTTTTTACCTCAGTCAGCCCTTAATTTGAAGAGAAGTGCTCATCTATTATTAAGTACCGAAAGCTAATATTTTTTATTACTTGAAAAATTATGATGCGCCATTTACAGAAAAAATAAGGCTTCTCTCGCATTTCTTATTTTCTAACGAATAAAAGACATTTTTAACATGTTAGATACATCTTTTTTCATTTTAATATGTTTACGATTGTATGTTTATCAAGTAATTTTGGAAAATTATTCTATTCGAATGTTTAAAATAACGTTCAGTTTATGTAACTTTCTTTCTTCATAACTTTCTTTCTTCGTAACTTCTTTCTACAAAGGAAAAATTTATAACTGAATACACGATTGAAAGAGAATGATGTTATTACAAGATGTCAAAATTATAAAGCCGTTTCTGCTCTAACAGCGTAAAATCGCTATTATGTGACTGTACTGGGAAAGTTTCCTGAAAATTGAAGGAAATTACTTGAAAATGTTAAGCCCGGGTGTTATGACTTTCTCTCATTTTGCGCTTCGCGAAAGTGCTGCGAAATGATCCCGAGTACGAAACTTGGGCGTATGAATCTTTCGTAACTTTTCGTACGAAGGAGAACTATTAGATGTGAAATACACGTATCGTCCCCTATCATTTATGCGAAATGGATTCACATTTCGTAAAACACGCTCTCGAGAAATAACGAATCGACGATTAGAGAGAACGTATGCATGAACGTTCGTTCGTAAAATGTGCAAACACACATACACACTCACAAGTGTCTATCGCTGCCAAAACGCGTACTCGACGACGCCGTTTTCCATTCAGAAGCGGAAAATGGTATTATGCTTAAGTTGGTATCTAGTCGCGAGCAACCTAGCGTAGAATCGCCAGTAACGACATTGGTATACAATTATGACAAGCGATCCGTGAGCTTATCGAGTTTCAAAGTGCACGAGAGCGAATTAACCGCACGGGTTGGTCCGGCTGGCAGGAATCCCCGAAAACTTGTGGTCCCGGAGACTCCGATTCAATCTCACGATTAGATCACTGCTAATAATACGCAATTGTATTTGCCGATCGCAAATACCGGTTACAAATAGTAGTGCACGTTAAGAAAACTTATTCTGGGCACGAGCTTCGACACAAGCCGTTATCGGATACAGGGTCTCATATGTTCCACATATGGAGATAACCTGTTTTTTCGTATTGTGTGTGTGTGTGTGTGTGTGTGTGTGTGTGTGTGTGTGTGTGATAATGACAATGTTTCTTTAAATCACGCCAATAAACGTATGTGGTTTTTATCGCATCGAGAAATTTTTCCTTCTCCCTTTCTCGATCGCACTGCAATCGGTCAAAGATGAATATTCCGATATGTACGTATTGATTTGCCTATTGCAAATATGGACCAATAACCGGTTTCCCATGTATCCGAGTAAATAGGAAGGTTATATGCATCTATTGGAGAAAGCCTGCGCACATTGCAAGATATTGTCCGCTCGCCTGTTTATTGGACTGACTGATATGTCGTCTATCATCCCGTGTTATGTCGTCCGTTTGATACGTGTGTCGCAAACTATTCAACGTTGCATGTAAGCGTCGTTGCGATGGCCTATACTATGGCTTTAATCAAGTGGGTTTTTAGCTTACTGTCGTTTAACTCTTTCTTAAACTCTGTTGCGTTCTTTAAGAACATATAAGTGATATTATTTGCTCCTCCTTAAAACTATTCACTTTATCGATAGTTTTGTGTATGCAATCATACGTCTACAAATTATGCATTATCTTTATAGTTTTTCTTCTTTAACAAATTCAGAAATTTCAATACTTGTTGATATTTTTACTATGTGGAAATTGAAAAAAAGCAATTAGTTGAAAATAGTAAATTATTTAACTTTCGAACCTGGGAAGTTATAACTTTTTATCTTGGCAGAGGCAGCAATTTAATCTTTTTTCCGCAGAAATAGAGAGAAAATATGTAAATAATTTAGAATTTTTTTTATAACAGAGTTGAATGTTTTGAAGTTAAAGAGTGAAACTTAAAAGTTAAAAAAAAAAGAAATTTTAAATAATTAATTCTACTGCTAAATAGATTCCAATATTCTTAAGTAACGAAAGAGGAATATTTACTTAATAAACTATTTTGATCGGTAATAATAAAATTTAAACGATTAACGACAGAAACATATAAAATATAATTTTCATATTTTTACTGAGAAAAAGAATACATATAAATCCATTTGAAATATATTTTTACAAGTATATATGGTATGTATAAATATAATAGACATTATGGATAGAATAGCATACAATAGTATTAAAATTCTTAAAAATAATACAAACTACAAACACAAACTATTGTTTTCTCTAATTTATATATTACTTATATGTGTAAATTATGTTTTCACATATAAATCATAACATTTTAATAATTCTATAATTATAGGTTAAAACTTATTTCAAATTTTTATAATAAATTTTATGTAATATATCTATAATCTATATAATTCATGTGCAATATAAAGAATTCAAGAGAGAAATTGTAATATTTTTTTCTTTTAACTTATGTATACGTGAAAAGAGGAGTATATATAATTTGATGTATATAGAATATATATATCTTAATGTATTTATAGGACACCATTTCAAAATAAATACTAGACATACAATAGTACAGACATATGTACTAGTATTGGTAATGATGGAAAACATGAAATTTATAATTGACATACTTTTATCAATCGCTTCCGGCTCTGGGAGCACTTCATACCATTCATTGTCTGTAAAAAATTTTACTGGCATCTCAGAAGAGCACTGATTGTGAGTACCCATTATTTATCAATATATGAGTTATTTGCGTTAAGAAATTATGATTATTATATGATACAGGTAGTTCATTACAACAATATTTTGTTTTTCTTATTGTTATTTCTAACGGCATGCATTGTATAATATGTGCTACTTCACCTCCTGACACAGCCGTGTAACCGTGTGTTTTCATTACAGTATAGGCAAATAAATCTGGTGAAATAGCTTTAGAAATAAAAGCACTCATTGCATAATTCAACTTTTCTCGTTTCGTATTACACTCATGCAACAATACGTCGTGATATAGTAGTTGCGTTTGTACATTGATATTTTTTAAAATTACGTTTGGATAGACAAACTTGTTATTGATATAGGCAAATATATCCTTATAATCGCTAGTTATTTCATGCTTTATAAAGAATGGCGACTCATTCTCGGTTTCAAAAATGAATAATTCTGGATATTCTATCGTATAAATAATATAACCACACATATTTTGTTGTCCTGTACTTTTTAATGCAAAAGTATAGTTTCCCTTATTGCCAGCAAAAATTGGAGAATAATTGGAATTTATATCGATAAATTTCTTTCCCATTCCTTCGTGCAAAATGTATATCGATCAAAATGACATATATCATTAAAAGTATTCTTTTGGGATACTCGCAAAAATTGAATATAGGACACTTTTCTACATCCAATAATGATATTGTAAAACCTTTTACTGGTAAACCGCTAAAATATCCTATTAATCCGTGTGTCTTATCCCAAAATAGAAACAAATGCAATAATAAATATTATCGATGTAGAGCTCATCTAAAATAAAAAAATATTTTATACATTACTTTATCATAATTTATATTAACATAAAATAAATTTTCTAAGACAAGTTTGAAAATAATGGAAAAATCGCAACTTTGTTATTTACATTAAGAACGTACGATATGGATAATTATACTTGCAGTCTGTACAATTTTTTCAAAATATTTTTTGGGGAAATATATATACAAAATGTTGCAATTATAAGTACATCACTCTGTATTTGTTTTGCATCTATTGTCGCGTATGTCACTATTCTGGTTTTATGATTGCAATTAAAAGTTTGTTAACTTTTTTATAATAATATAATAACCAAATAAATTAGCGCTACGAGTTTTGTGAAGCACTGATAAACATCAACATTCATTTCTCAGAAATTAAAAAAATAATATACTCACGTTATATGATTGCTATGTAATTTTATAATAATAGATGCGCTTTCCAATTTGTTATTAATTATATTCAAAATATGTCCGCTATGAAATTCGTTGGCAGATCTTTATAGTATTGCTAAATTTTTTGCTGAAAACTTAAGAGTGCAACAATTTTTGTCTTGCTTGGCTATAAAAAAGAAAAATTAAAATTAAAATATGAAAAACAAATACAAATTAATAAGTAAATCAGAATTAAATAAAGTGTTAAATATATTTCTATTTTCTAAAAGATAATTTTGCTCTATTAAAAGTCTATTAACTCTGTCTTCTCTATTAATTCTTTATCAACTGTCGGGCAGAAAAATATTTAAAGAATATATACATATATAGTCTATTTTTTGTAGATTCGACTAATAATAAATAATTCCACATGTGAAACGAAATAATTTACACATGCAAACATTAAACTATACTTATATCTGATTTTTTAGATTGGAAATACATTTTTGTTATTAACTTTTTGAAAAGTGAAGAAAGATATTTTAGACTAACACTTGCCACACTTAGCATGAATTTCAGAAGATTAAAAGCTAATTAAACATTTACCTTGACGCAAATAAGTTTTTAGAACTATATGCTTTTGTCCTGCAATCTTTCTTAGTTTTTCGAACACTACTGCACACTACGAGCGATCAGTTGCTACCAATTGATTGCGAATTTAGGACAGGATATCTTAATCCGAGGAGCATTGATATCTTATTTATTTAATGTAAATTGTATATTCATTCCATAGCTATCGCTGGAATGCGTCATTCGAAATTAGTATAGGAATGTGATTCACAATAGGTGTCGTAATAATTTTTATTATAACAAATTTTATCTTTAACGATAATAAATTTTTGATAACAAAAAAATATAGCGAATAGTGCAAGAAAAAAATTAATATTATTTTATTGGAGATAATCTCTCTGTGATATACCGGCAGGATTATTCTTTGCGATAATAACCCGATTGTTTGAAGATTAAAAAATGATTTAATTTGATAAACAGCGCGATTACATTTGGAAAAAAACAGTCGCAAATATTGGAATATTACATATAATATCACAAAAGAGTCCTTAAACTGTCCAAAACAGAAGTATAAAAAAAAAGAAATAAATATTATATAACAAAAATCTAGAAAAAATTAAATTGCTGTATAAAATGAAAATTGACAAAAATCTTGCAGACATTAAAAATGTCGTGATTAATAATTCTTAATCCTAAGCCATTTCGTTTTCCATTTCCACGTGTGATGAAAAAGCGTGAATTCGTTGCGCGTAGAAGAACAGTATTTTCTTGTTTCTCGAGAGAATTTTTGCTTCATTTTATGACAGTGAACTATCTCCATCATTTCTCGAGCGAGCGAGTCTCGGGTCTTACCTGATCACATCTGGTCGGCATCTGGCAGCGCTCTGGCTCTTTGATGCCGACAATTGTTCTCTTATTCTCTCTCGTAGTCCTTTCCACTGTCTGGTTCTCGAAAAAGTTTATGGGACAGTTTTTCACAGGTAAATAATTTCGTTGTGTTTTATTTGCTAAGAACGTCTGCTTCAAAGTGCATATAACATGCGTATCATAAAACCAAGAGAATTGACTGGTAAATATTTACATCGGTGAGTCGAGAGAAGAGAAGAGAATAAAATAAAGAGCGAGAAAAATATCCGAAACGATTAACCCGTCGCGTGAAATTCGCGCAGAGGCGAAATGTAAAATCTTGCCAAAGATCACCGACTCTCGACAGCAGAGACAGCTGGGAATCATCAGTTTTCTGACGACGAAAAGCAACGCACGAGCGCGTCCTGCCGTCTTCGGCAATCGCGCCAGTCGATCGGGGTAAATGCGAACTTGGGTCTCGTGTGCGTGGCACAAAGACGTGCTCGCCATTGTATCGTCGCCCGATACGCTGCCACTTGCTACGGCCGGTGTCAACGACAGCGACAGTCGTCCCGGATCGAACGGAAATAACGGCGGAAGACCTCCCTTTTCATCGCGCTTTTCTTTCATTCATCCTCCACCCTCGCATATCGCGTTCCTTCGACAACCTCGCGATAGGGAATCGCGCGGTCAGACTTCGATTCGAATCACGAAGATTAAATAAGGCGGATCACACGCAGGCTACTCGAGCTCGATGATGCTTGAATTTGGCAAATGACATTCGTCATTCCGAGCAAGTCCTTAATGCTAATGCAGATTTTTCGATGGCTTTTTTTAGCAGATCCAGAGCACTGCCAGATGGCGACCAGATGCGAAAATTCTCTCGAGAAACAAGAAAATACTGCTCTTCCACGCGTAAATTAGAAGATAGGTTCGACTGTAAACATTTTTAAAGATATAATATGACACAAGTTGGTAATGTGATTGTTCACAAACTCACGTCGGAGTATCACAGAGAATCTCGGCAAGGCGACATTGCAAAATTGAGTGCATCGATTGCAACGCGACGAGCAATGTTTATTATGTTGTACATTTGCGCCGCTCACTTAGCCGCGCACGTTCATTTACGGCATTTACGCATATAGCATAAGCTGCTTGCCTGCTGCATTAATGGAATGCTTTTGTCTTTCCGCCTGCGCCTGGCACGGGATTTACTTTGCGAGGATTAAATCGCACGGACCGCACGGGATGTCCGTCTGTGAAGAGCGAAACCCGGAAGGGTAACGACGTAGGGGTTCCGAGGGTAGAGAGAGAGAGAGAGAGAGAGAGAGAGAGAGAGAGAGAAAAAGAAAAAAATGCGCGCGCGCGCGGAGAATCTGAACAAAAAGCGGCGAAAGGGTCGGGTGGATTAAATTTTCAAACTGTGCACAGAGCCTGGGAGCGCCACGCATTGTGGATGGACCCCTGCGCACGCCGCGATCGCTGAATTAAAAACAATGGAAATGCTGAGTCCTCGGTAGCGCAGCTCTTGTTACGGCGTTTGTTTTCCATAGCGAAAAATAAAAAAAAAATAAAAAAAAAATAAAAAAAAAATGCATTAATCGAACCCGCCCGCCGGCGATGACACACGAATGTCGTCGACATGGCGAACCAGAGAAGCGAGGGAGACCGGCCGGGGAATTATCGGACATCGGTTCCCCTCAATTTGCTCGATCTCGTGTTACGAGCGCATGCGCGTCTTTAAATGGGGACAATTTTATTTAATTAAATATTTTTTAAACAAGTGATGTATATATATATATATATTCAGAGTGTATCCCAAAATTAATAGCAAACCTTTTATAATGGCAGATTCTTGGGATCATTTGGAGACGACTTTTCTCAACGAAAATGTCGAGAAGAAAAAGATAAAAAGATAAGCGATTGAAAATAAAGGGTTTTTCGCAAACTAAGCCTTGTGGAAATAAAATATTAACAAAATCGCATTCTTTTATTAATTTCATGTAGTTTACTTTAATAGGATTTTAATTTAAGGTTTAATTACGAAGATACATGATGGCAAAAATTGGGAATATGCAAAAAAAAAAATGATGATTTCTCTCGATATTTTCATTGACGAAAAAACCCTGCATATATATATTAAATATATATATATATATATATATATATATATATTCAGAGTGTATCCCAAAATTAATAGCAAACCTTTTATAATGGCAGATTCTTGGGATCATTTGGAGACGACTTTTCTCAACGAAAATGTCGAGAAGAAAAAGATAAAAAGATAAGCGATTGAAAATAAGGGGTTTTTCGCAAACTAAGCCTTGTGGAAATAAAATATTAACAAAATCGCATTCTTTTATTAATTTCATGTAGTTTACTTTAATAGAATTTTAATTTAAGGTTAAATTATGAAGATACATGATGGCAAAAATTGGGAATATGCAAAAAAATGATGATTTCTCTCGATATTTTCATTGACGAAAAAGCCCTGTATACATGCATTAAATATGTCTCACGCGGATGGTAATTGTCTTAGATATTGAGAATAAAAAAAATTGCGCACGTATCGCACACAAGTTTGTACATTATATCCCTTCGAAAGGAAAGAAAAGATAAAAGTTTTGCCGCGCCAAGTACATAGTTTACAACAAATCGAGAACTTGCGAGAGCAAACTCGATAACGATTACGCGACGGTAATTACACGGCGTGGAAAAGAATTTCATCATAACTACCGTAAACATGCCCCCGTCGTTGATAGGGGGTAGAAGGTTCGAGGGGATAAATCAACCGGAGAAAAGTTGGTTAATCTTCATCGAGAGCGATAGAGACTTGGCGGATTGTTTTCATACGAAACTTTCGAAGCGGTTCCGTAGACGTCTGCCAGACTTTATCCAGAAAGGGAGATGGGGGGAGGTTAGGGATTCGCATTATTACGAAATATTTCCACGTTCCTACGAACATCCTCGAGGAGGAAGGGAAAGGGGTAACTTGATTACGGCAGTCTTACGAAGAATTCCTACAATTTCTAGAGTGCCGACGCTTCGCCGATCATCCTTTCCCATATGGTGAGTGCAATCTCGATGAGCCTCGTCTTTTTAGGGTGGATGTAGAGATGAATAATTATGAAATTTCATTTTCATTAAATTAAATTCTTGTCGATTTCGAGTGAAAAATATCCTATTAAAAATAAATAACAAAAAAAAAACGTAGGCAATATTAATGAAAATGATACACATAATGATCATTAATTTATTTATTATAATTATCAACACAAATACGTGTTTATAATTACATCAATTTGCAATAATATAATAATTGAAAATTGATCCTTCTTATTGAAAACAATGTCACTCGTATCTTATAATATATTTATGCTATTGAAAAGACACAAATATACCCGCAATTTACATTAATTATATGTATATTTGATCATAGTAATATTATATGATATTTTATATATTTACTCACTAGTAATACATGTCCATTTTTACTCGTCGATAATAAGCAATGAGTTTATTAAATAAGCAATTACAAAATGAACAATATTTGCATGCAAAATTGGTAAATTAGGTTCGATTCCCGATTCAGCGATTTTCGGATCTATATTTTTCTCTTGCATTCATTTATTTATTTTCCGTAGGGGGGTTAAAGGGGTATTGAAATTAAATCTCAAAATATGAGATTATTTCATATTTAAAATCTTGGCCGTGTCCAAGTAAAAATTTGGTGCCTTGTGCACCGGTATTTATTTCTAACGAAAAATTATT